ATCGTGTGATTTCCTGAGGTCAAATGGTCCAGGATGTGAGTGGGCGTTAAGGTGTCTGGGAAAGGATCTCAAAACTGGATTATAGATGGCAGACGGTTGGTGTCGTAAGCCACCGCCTCTCTTCAAAGATGGTCGTTTACAGTGGACATAGATGTATTCTTTCACCCCTCTTTCAAACCGTGTCTTCTCTGTCCAAAATGTGAACATTGGTATCCTCGAAAGAGTGACCTTTGTCAGCCGAGTCTTGTCCTGTCGAAGTGGCTCTTCATCGACAGTGACAATCGACAGTGATTGCTCCACATGTCATTTCGTGTTTGTGCAAGGCTGTTAAATATGGCATTTATTTTCTTATTTACCAAATGTGAGATCCCGGTCCAGATTCTCTTACAAAAATAACAAAATGGAGGCCTGTCTTGTCAGAGGTGGTGCATACTGTTTGGTCAGGATGTGATTTTTGATAAGGTTCAACATCTGCTTCATATATAGCTCCACCTGCCTCTGTTGCCATTTCCTTTTATTTAGCAAAGAGCTGCACTTGATCCATTGTGTTTGTGTTTGCCGCGTCTCTTCAGCTCCACCTTTGTTAATATTCAGCTGGGTTCCAACCACTGCTTTGATGTTGACCGATCCTAATTAGTGTGGACTTTGCTTTCACTAGAACTGTTCTCGGTATGCATGTGTGTGAGTGGCTATGCATTTGACACACAGAGGCCAGGATATTAGACTATGCATTTTTATGCTTTGTCATGTATATTTCATAAGAGGGTAACGTTAATAATGTAATACCTTTCTGGAGTGAATATAAATGAACGCACACGATAACGATGATAGTGATTATTATTATTTATATGTTTTTTCCATAATGATTGTCGTTATTAGTAGCTAATGTAAAAAAAAATTATCTTTCTTCTCTCGAGCTGTTAACTAATAGAAGTATCACACACACATACAGTTTCTCCTATCACACGCTAAATGTTCCTGGTTATTACCACATCCTAATGAGTTATCCAACTATCTTTGGTTTTTTATTTTTCTGTAAGTGCACTGTTTGTCCCCGTCTTGTCCCCCCCCTGTTCTATTGTTAGTGTGGTATTGAAACATGAAATTAGGCTCTTGGAAAAACTTGGAAGAATTCTAGAAATATAATCAGTGTCCTAAACTGAGCAAAAATGGATACTTTTGTTTCCATATATTCATTAAATCCATTACTACTGGTAACAAGTTCTGCTGACAGATTTTTTTTCTTCCATTCACTTGTTAGTGTACTTCACAGATCATACCTCATCGTTAGTCCAGAGGTTTGTAAGCCAGAAGTCAGACATTGTGGAAAGGTTTAACACTAGCCAGTTATTTTCAGGCTACTGTCACTGACCACTATAGCATACACCTGTTGATGAACTAATCATACATTTCTCTTATGTGGTGATTATTAACTATTAATGCCACCGTTATCTGAAAACACAGCCGCTGATTAATGTCCCTGTGTGTGTGTGTGTGTGTGTGTGTGTGTGTGTGTGTGTGTGTGTGTGTGTGTATGTGTGTGTGTGTGTGTGTGTGTGTTTGTGTCAGTCGAAGCTGCTGTCATTATTTGCAGCCACTCCTACGCAGAACAATAAGCAGCATGGAAACCTCAGTAAGTCATAGTTTTCTCTAGGAGACTGAGCATCCATCAGTCTCGCTCTTCCCTTTTCTCTCATTTCTAAAGGTCGGTCCTGATGCCACTCAGCTGGCAATAAAATGCCTGCAAAACAAATCCAAACACACATGAAAATATATCTGCGCTTACCTACAGGCTAAAAAGTGTCTGGATTCTTGTTACACACATTCTTTCTCTCAGAGCATCTTCCAAGCAGCATTCTAGCATCCACACAAATAATAATGGTATAGATAAAAAAGTTAGTAAAGCAAATTACATACTGGATACAATATGCATCCTGTTACACGGGACATATACAGACCACACATATAATGAAAATATACAATTTCAACATTTTCTTTACGAAGCGCATAAATCACGACTATAAATCTGAGCTTGAAGTTTGATCTTGGGGAACGCTAACTTTACCCCAAAGTGAAATACATTTTGACAAAATACCAAAGTGGCAAACTGTTTTTGCCCAATATTTTTTCCTGTATTTTATAATAACCCCCCCCCCCAAAAAAAAGACAAAACAAAAAACAAAACAGAAATCCTGCCCTCACTATCAGTTGGTCTCACAAATGTTAACTTTGCAGTTCAAAAGAAAATATACCGAAACTATATTTCTTTGCAGTTATAAGTATATTAAATGGTAACTTTTTTTTAGTAACTATGCACTGTGTGCACAATTATTAAAGTAAGAGTAATAAAACAACTCAGAATTTACATATAAACATTTCTGACATGTCAAAGAAAATCAGTGACCAATATAGCTACCCTCACAAGCCTTCCATTCATGGAGTCTGTCAGTTTCTTCATGTGTTGATGATCAACTTTTTGTGCAGCAGCAACCACAGCCTTCCAGACACTGTTCAGAGAGGTGTACTGTTTTCCTTTACTATAAATCTCTTGCTTAAGCAGGGCACACAGGTTCTCAATAGGGTTTAGGTCAGATGAGGAAGGGGGGCCATGTCATTATTTTTTCATCCTTAAGGCCTTTACTAGCTAAGCATGCAGTGGAGTACTTCGATGCATGCGATGGAGCTTTTTCCTGCATAAAAATACTAGTCTTCTTGAAAGATGCAGACTTTTTCCTGTACCAGTGCTTGAAGAAAACTGGGAGTAAGTTTGATTTTGAGGCCATCTTCAACCTGAAAAGGCCCAGCTAGCTCATCTTAATAAATACCAGCCTATACCAGTACCCCACCTCCACCTTGCTGGCGTCTGAGTCAAAGTGGAGCTCTGTGTCCTTTACAGATCCAGCCATGGGCCCAGCCATCTGGTCCATCAAGAGTCACTCTCATCTCATCAGTCCATAAAACCTTTGAAAAATCTGTCTTCAGATATTTCTTGGCCCATTCTTGATGTTTCAACTTGTGTGTTTTGTTCAGTGGTGGTGGGGTTTCAGCCTTCCTTACCTTGGCCATGTGTCTAAGCACTGAAAACCTTGTACTTCTGGATACTCTGGGTAGGCTGCAGTTCTGGAATATGGCAGCCCTATAGGATAATTGGTTCCTGATAGCTTCACTTTTGATTCTTCTCAAATCTTTGGTAGTTAATTTCCGTCTTTTTTTCTCAATACGTTTCTTGCGACCCTGTTTGCAACAAAACATTTGATGTGGTTACGCCCCAATATCTTAGCAGTTTCAAGACTGCTGCATCCCTCTGAAATACCTTTAAATCTTTTTTTTTTTTTGGCCCATTTTGCCTGAGGAAGAGAAGCTGCATAGAAATTATGCACACTTTTATATAGAGTGTTGATCTTCCCAGGCCACACCCTCACTCATTATGCAAATACACATCACCTGATATGCTTAAATCCAATAAGCACACAAGTTTATACAGCTTGAAAATTTGCATAAAAATTATGATATGGCCAAAATACTCACTTGCCTAATAATTGTGCACACAGTGTATTGATTCAACCACAACAGAATGAACTTTTGGGAATTTACTTATTTGGATGATTGAGCATGCATCAAGAAATATTTAGTGACATTTTTTTATTAAAGTGCAGCCTAAGCTTTAAGCATGGTCATTAGCTTTGAAAGTGTGATATTAGATAAATTAGTTGATCTGATGATGGAGCTTGAGGAGAAGTTGTTACTAAAACCTGAATTTATGTAAAATATATAGGCTAATGCTTTGGATGGTAGCAGAAGGACATTACCATCCACAACGTCTTGCCAGCAGCACAGCTAAAAATGAGCACTCAAGCAGAAAAAACTCAGAGTCCTAGAGCTCACTCGTGGTCTGCAAAGCGTAAATGCAGAATATTTTGGTGTTCCAGCGTTTTCTACTTTGACAGGACCAAGCAGGAAATAAATGTAGTATTTTAGAACTACAGTTATGTATTTGGGAGCTGGACCAGACGTTTACAGAACAAATTTGTGCCTAGATTAAACCTTTCCCCTGCACACTGCACGAGCTAGAGCAAAATGTCAGGATTTCTCACAATCTAATTGGCAGATTGCCATGAAATGAGCACATTCATGCTACCAAGAAAGTGACCTTTCCTTTACTCCCACACTCAGGACAAACTTTACAATTTTTGGTCCCGCTGTTAGTTAAGTTCTAAAAACATCAAGATTGACAGTAGTATTTGTGTTACATGGAGCACTCTCATACTCTTGTTGTACTTGTTAAAAACCCAAACATAAAGCTTTGCTAGTGTTTTAACCTTTTAATTTTGATCCCAAACAAATCAACTTTTGGGTCCTTATAATGGAGCATGATGGATAATGTAAATGATTAATGTCATCAGTGACTTGAGCTCAAACAAATAGCATAGCATGGTTGTTTTGCTCAGTTGTACTGCATCCAGCATACACAGCCTGTGCTCTGCTTTAGGCTTCATATTAAAGTCAGTGACAGGAGCTTTTCCTCAAAATACTTTCAGCTGTGGCAGTCTAATCCTTTCCTGCACACTTTCATGTGGCGTTGTCATTCATGTTGACTTTTGAAGTTTTAACAAGACTGCTGTTCATGCGTGAAGCTCTGCCAACAGGTTTATGCTTCATTGGCTTTGATGGGGCTTGAGATGTGACAAATTTTGTTTTTTGGCCTCCTCTCCAGAAACCAGACAGTCAGACAGCAGGAAGCAGTTCAGAGGGCTTTAATTCAATGCTTTAGGGGGTCGGGAAGTTTAAAAAGCTGCATTCAGAATGTAAACGTCTTTGACATACTCGCTCGGACTTACATATGAGGGAATGAATGAATTCGTAGCAGTCATGGAACCTGTATTCTTTTCTCTTTTTTCTCTCATTATCTTTCCTTTTTTTTAAATGTAGAGCCTGTTTATATGAAATGTGCTACATAAATATATTGCTAATACATATGGTCTTACTTAATGTGTGTGTAGGACCTAGGCATGGAATCAACATCACTGGATGACGTGTTGTACCGCTACGCCAGCTTCAGAAACCTGGTTGATCCCATCACGCATGATCTGATTATCAGTCTGGCGCGATACGTACACTGCCCCAAGACGGTAGGACAAACACACACACACACACACACACACACACACACACACACACACACACACACACACACACACACACACACACACACAGTGTAAATAAATGTTAATAAAACCTAGTACCTCCTACTGTAAAGGCTCCTGGGCATGCTAACATAAACACACACACTGTCACTGACTGATGCTATTTATTGCGTTGCTGCTATCAGATGATCTCCTGACTCATTTCTTTGATACTATTTGGTTACGGAAGTGCTCTAAAGTGGCTGTGTATTATATGTGCGTCCTTGAGGGAACTACTGCTGCTTGTGTTTGTTCACTCATGTAGTCCAGTGTGTCACTGAAGGACAGAAAAGGAGAGGGAAAGAGAGCATGGAAGCAGCGACGCACAATGAATAATGCAAGGAAGAAGGAGTGATGGAAATGAAGATAGGAATTCAGAGGCCTGATGTGTCATTTCAGTACATTCTGTTGTGAAACACTGTTGCCCTGAAGCTGGCTGCGTTAAAAGTCTTTTTTCCAGCAAACACTGACTCCATTTCAATGTTCTCAGCCTATGATGATGCAGAAACATTACTGAAACGATTAACTAATTGATATAATCTATATGTGAGTGATTTGTGGCCATTAAATCCTGACCTTTCTAAAGCAGGCTTTGCACTTTAATTTGATGGGTTTCCTGTGAAAACAGAATGCTTGAGATGTGAAAAATAAGTATTGCATATCTGCACAACTTCCACAGAGAAAAGGCAAAGAAACACTAATGGCAAATATTTAGTGCAGACCCATGATTGCCCAAGAGTCAATACATTTTTACCAGCTGTGCGTCATCATGGCAGAATTTGCTAATTACGCTGGCAAGTGTGAGTGTGTATGTCTGTGGAAAGCTCAATTATATAGGGATACCATGTGTTTGCGTTCCCTCGTACACACCGAGACATGCCTAGACATGCCTAAAACTGAGAGCAGCCACCCTCTGATGATACTTTATGCCTGATTTAGGTTTCTGCAGGGAATCTTTGTAGTCCCCACGTAATTTAGAGGTGGGCCGATCAATCTAGTATAGACACCAACAAATTTATACTAGTGTGATAGAATCAATGCTTTGTTTCTATGCTCTAAGTTCAGTGTGTAGCCCACTGAAATTAGTTTTTTGGAAATGAAACGATACACCTCAAACATGCACTATGAAAAATGTCTGAACCTTTTTGTGTTGACTGTTGCATCTATTTTATTTATTTTTCTATAAAATCTTTAAATAACAGAGGTTCACCCAAAGTGTTTTAGAGACAGACATTTTACATTTCAAGTCTCAAAAATTTCAAAATAAATGAAAAGCTGGTATGTTTTTGTTGTCTTCAATAATTTTGGAAAGTAAAAATCACAGTGATTTAGTGGTCATTAAAATGTGCTCAGAATTTGCTAATTGATTATGATTTATCTGATAAAAAGTAGCTTCAGATTTTTTTTTATAATAATAACTAGCATGTTTGTGCCCTAAATTAGTGGTTCTCTAACTGTGGTACGCATACCACTGGTTGTACGTGGGCTCCCTCTAGTGTTACGCGGGAAGCCTCCTTTTTTTTGTGTTTAAGATCAAATGATATATGTCTTATATATACTACTTATTGGGGGATTTCTGAAAAATTAAAACACACACCTCTGCTATCACGTCCGACATAAATGAAGACAGAAAACTAAACAGCAGTGACGTTTGTAGGGTTACTGAAGTTGGGCTAGCTGGTATATAATGGTGTGCTATGTGATCGCTAGCGACACAGCTATGTTTGCATGATGTAAACACATTAACACAGTGAAGCTGGAGGATGAAAACGAACTTTTTTCCACTCGATAAAAGTTAACATGAGGGTTCCCAATGTTAGGGACAAATGCAATCGCATGGCAGGACGCTGTAAATGGACCAAACGTCAGTCAGGAGAACAACTGAGATAATTCATCAACAATACGAGGTTAGTCATTAATATACTGCTGTATGGGCTGGGCTGTAGTTACATCGTAAGGTTTAACAACTGAGCTTTGAAATGAATAGTGGTAGCAAAAACCGAGATAGGCCCACAGTGATCTCTGCCTTTATTTAGGGGCTTGTTTAGATTAAATAGAACAAGATACAAAGCATTAAAACGTTAAAAACACAACAGCCTTAATAAATGCAGATTAGTTTTGAACGGGAAGCAGGGTTTATACGTCATCACTTAAAGACCGGATATCCCACCTGCTGTGAATGTTTTAATGCAGTACAGTTGTTATTATTATCACTTGTCACATCCTTTTTATGACAGTTAAAATAAATAACATTCATATAAGAAATAAAATTGTCTCATGTAAACTGTATATGGTGTTAAATAGGCCTACCGGTATACTACTGTACTTTAATGTCAGTCATAAGGGTGGTACTTTAAGAGCCATATATTTTATGAGGTTGTGTTCATTGTGAAAAGTTTGAGAACCAATGCCCTAAATCAAGTTATCTCCATTAATGCTTGCTAACATAATGCGCTTTCTCAAAGAAAAAGGCTAAGTGCATCCGTAATCCTGGACAAGGATCATTGATGAAACACCCAGAACACACATAATCTCCATATAAAAGATTTGGCATCACTCACTGGTTTGAAAGCCTTGACTTCAGCATTTAGACTGCAGGCATATAGGTTTTAACTGACTTAAAGTGGATTAGAGTGTGAAGTGTTACGCTATCAGCTAATGCTAGCTCTTTACATCTAGTCTTCACTACAATGACAATAGTGAAAACAGTCCCCTTTGGCTTTTTATAACCAATAGGTTTTATCCATCTTTTATATGCAGTTTATGAAACTGACTTGCTCTTTCCCCATTAAAGTGATTTTTTGCCTTGCTTGCTGCTTAGAAACAAAACATGAAAACTGAAGATTAGCATTATTATTTTTTTAAAGTAAGCTAATTTTAGCATAGCATTGGATGTAATAGCACCCTTTCATATTGCTATTAGACAGCCATCTAAACTTTTCGACATGTAGTACAGAAATATACTGCAAATGTGTACCAACACGTACACAGTTTGCAGTTTTCTCTGCTTATCTCATGCTTAAATAAGCCAGGGAACTTCATTTTGAAGAATAGTTGGTGCACCTTTGGAAAGATCAAATTAAGCTCAAAAGTAAAACTAGATTACACAACTAGACAACAAATGGATCAGACTCACTTTATAGACAGACTTCTTTAATGAAAACATTGTGTACAGTGATCTGTAGTCTGAGGGAAAAGGGTAAGGTATAAAATACTCACTTATATCACTGCAATAAGGTGCATTGTGGGAGAAATGCTTGACACACAGTTACAGTCAAAAAGGAGGGTACTGTGTGTGGTTCATAACAGGGGAATGGATTGTGTCTGAGAAGAACAGAGCAGGAATGAGAAAGGGTGTTGTTCAGTGAAGAGAGAAACACAACATAGCGTACAGACAGAAGCACAGAGAGGCGTTATCTCACGTGTTTCACTCGGCCATTCTGTCTGACACATTGCATCGCTGTTCTTTTACTTTTCTGACCTGGTTGTCAATAACAGTGTTTATTCTTTTCTTTTTAAATTATGGAATAGATAGATTATCAGAGCAGGCAACATTTTTCCAGTCTTGGGAAAAAATGTTGTATAGCCAGAGATTCAGTTCTATTCACTTGCTTCAATGAGGCATTTTCACCAGAGAGCTGCTGCTCACTGGATATTTTCTTTTATTCAGACCATTTTCTGTAAACCCTAGATGATGGTTCTGTGGGAAAATCCAGTGTCTAACATATTGCAACCAGCCTTTCTTTCACCAAAAACCATGTCAAAGTCACTTAAATCCCATTTCACCCCCATTCTGAGGCTCCAGGTTTGAACTTCAGCAGGTTGTCTTGACCATGTTTACATGCCTAACTGCATTACTGAGCTGCTGCATTCTGACTGGCTGATTAGGTATTTGAGTTAATGAAGTGGGACCAGTGAGTGTGTTATGTTTGTAAGGCTTGGATAAAACAGCCTCTCTGTATTCCCTTGTGTGACAGCTAATTATTTTTATTGAAAAACAATTTCACACCTTGTTAAGGATAAATGTTTTGTCTTTGGCTGCATGAAGATCTAATTTGAGCCTCTCAGTAATACGTTATATGCTGTCAGATGCTCAGTCCTGTATATTCGACTGTTTCATTAAGCCTTGTTTCCTAAGGGCAGATGAATTGGTTCGGCATATATAAGGTGATATTTAATCTTGATGTTTTTATAGGCATTTGACAGGTACACGGCAAGAGTGTGAAAGTCAACTGAAACAGTAAAGTCTAGGTAGACTTGTAGCAAAACCAAAACTATGAACTACAAAAGCAGAGTGATATAATATTTGACAGATCTTTGACTGTGTGAATGCACTTCCTTTTATTCCGGCATTTGTCACTGCAGCCCTGAGAATCCGCGCAGTTCCACACACTGGTCCACAGCTTCCCCTACACAGGAAATTCCCATCAGGCAGCACCACAAAAGCAAAAAGCGTCTTCCCAGAGACCCCTTCCACCCAGCACTCAACCTGCTCTTGCATAAAGCTGGCTGCTTTGAGGCGGACTGAGCATGTTTTCCTTAGCAAAATGCGCACTGAGTGCTGCACTTCCACTTTATTTTATACTGTGGTGGTTGTGTGTATGGCTGCTGCTGCTGTTATATTGCCGGTTGCATTTTTTTTTCCAGTATCAAATTTCTTGATGAAGCTTGTCGGATAGTATAAAAAGCAGTAATGTCAGTGGAGTATTAATCACACTGTTTATAACTAAACAAAGGTCCTGAGAACCTTTTAGCTAAGGACAGGATTAGCAGATTAGTGCGTAAACACAAATGGAATTGTCGAGTGGATAATATTATCCAACATCCTCTACAGGGAGTGCAGAATTATTAGGCAAGTTGTATTTTTGAGGAATAATGTTATTATTGAACAACAACCATGTTCTCAATGAACCCAAAA